TGCTTGTTGTGTAAATACATGAATAACTTTATGATACCATAGCTAGTACTAGTTCTATTTTTATAGTGAGAACTGTAAGAAAAGCTAAAGTTTTCCCAAAGCTGTATAGCTATGAAGCAGGGCCATGCTCCCAGGACTCTGAGTCTCCAGGAGCTGTGCTCTGAGCTGCTCTCACATCAATTACAACCCACCTGTAGTCACTCTAAGTGAGAGTCAGTAAGATGGGGCATGATACCTTGTAGGGATGGTTTCCTTATGACTAAATAAGCTAGTAAGAGTTGTGCATAATAGATTGTGTTCTCTCTTCCACAACAGACAGGCATGAAGTTTTTTAGATCAAAAGCAAGAGGGACAGGACCCATAATAACATCAAGCATTTACTAAATGAAGAAGAAAACTATACTCATCTTAGAAATGGTCTCTTTTTAACCTTTTTATTTCACGCTAAGTGTTAAACCTGAGGCTTCATGCATCCCAGGCAAGTGCTTAACCACCAAGTTACATCCCTAGCCCAGTGTCTCTTTTTTGAAGACATTTTTACGAAGCAGGTCGCTGTGAATATGAGAAGTTGGACGAAGAGATAAGAACTCCCCAAATCACAATTTTTTAGAAGAACCCAGCTCTGATCCATGAAGAATGAACAAGGAGCAGCAAACCCACCAACAGTGTCTGGGCCTATGGCTGGCCATGGTGGTTCATTTATGCTAGCTGCGAAGATCAACTTGCCTTGATCAACAAACAACCTTTGACAGGCCTGGAGCATCCCAGGTGAACATGTGCCAGTTCTCTTGGGTATGTGGAAGCTGAGAGGTAAGCAATCTCAGGCAGTTATGCTGCCTAGCATCAAATCAGGTGAGTGACCACGGGAAGTAGAGCTCAAGAGCTTCCACAGAGACTCCTCTGACCAACAGGGATGTGTTCTCCAGCCAACTTGGCAATTAGATTTCATACAACAAATCACACAATTGGCATCTGATTTATTAACTGTTTTTTCTTAGGTTGGTCAATGTGACTCTGAGAATTTCCAGGACATGAACAAATCCAGTTTCTGGGTCTTCAGTGGGAAAGCCAGACCTGCACGATAGTGATAATTCTACTGTTCTATTCTCCCCAGCGAGCACGTGCATGTGTACACACACACACATACACACACACACACACACACACACTCAGCTAAGCATACTTACACACATACAAAATGTACATACACTCACACGCACACATACATGCACACCCCTGAGGCCCTGTTTGGCCAGAAGCCCGGCTGAGTGACATAATTTTCTCATGTTCTCTATTAACTGCAGAATTGTGCAGTTGAAAGGGTAGGAGGCCTTCCCATCAGTTGCCTGTGTTTCTCCATTTGTGGTGCTGCTACCTTGTCAGAGAGGGCAGCAGGCTTTGTCCAGCACAAAGTCAACCTGGTTACAATAGCACATTTTCCCCAGGAGTTCTAAGGCAACCAGGCAGCAGGGGCTGGTGCCTTTAAAGAAAGACATGAACAGGGCCACGGGGTTCCTGGACAGAACTAAGAAGGAAACAAAGAGTGCCCTTTCTTCTTCTTCCCTTATATGAGGGCTTTCTGGCCCTTTCTCTACAGGAGCCAAGACCTGGCAAAGGCCATCCTACTGGGCCTTTAGTAAAATTTCCTGCCTAATGTTGAGAGACATAGTACACAAACTCCTGAAAAGCCACTTATCTGACTGCATTGTCTCTTCTCCTCATACCCATTGCTTCTTGCCAACTCAGATGACCAAAAGTTCTCACTTGGCCTTCTGGGCCATTATGAACTGGTCCTCAGCTACTGTGACTACACTCAGTCTCCCTCTGCTAACTCCATAGGAGGCCCTGAATCTCCCCACTGTTTCTCTATTGCATTCCCCTGTAGCTGTCTGAATATCTATATCTCTGTTTCTTCTTTACAGAATACTCTTCCCACACAGATGTCCACATGGCTAGGACTGTCATTTGATTCAGGCCTTCATTCAAGTATCTCACCAGAGATACCTTCCCACTATATCTAAGGTACGTAGTATCCTCTACATGCTATTACTTCTCTTACCCTATTTGTGTTCATGGTTTCTATTTCTCACTGACACATGGTTACATGTGTTTATTGACTCTCTTCAATAGAATACAAACTCCTTGAAAGTAGGGATTTTGCCTGATATAATAACTTCCATCTCCCCAGGCCTTAAAGAGCTCAGCCCACGATAAGCACCAATATGCTGAATGAATGAACTGTGGTTCTCCTTTCCCGTTTTCTTTTTTGTAATTATTTCACTTACTTCCCCAAAGCTTTAAAATCTCCAAATGACACGTTGGGTCTAGAAGGGCATCACTTCTCTTTGAAGTCTTACAAGGAATAAAGTTCTTCATGGTTTGGGGGTAGTACAACACAAAGTCTAGGGGTCCACTTGGGCTATGAAAAGGATTTTCAATCACTCACCAATTCTTTGAAAACCGCTAAACGCAGGTGCTAAGGAGATTCTAAACCATTCTAAGAGGTAATGGGCAGCTCCATTTTAGAGAGAGGAATGTCCTTTAGTTTCAGGAATTGCTTTAATGTGTCTTTTAGTTCTGCAAAGAGAGGCCAAGAGCTTGTGCAAGATAAAAGAAGCAGAGATAAGGAGGGCAAATTTTGCTCTCAGACTGTTATAAAAGATGTCTATTCTAGTAAGAAAGGTTTTTGCGTTTTGATGTTTTCTAGTCCCACTGCCTGTTCTAAAAAAACCAAGTGAGCAGAAGCTAGAAATGTAAAGAATAAAGTTAACTGGAGAGAGGGTAGTCTGTTCAACATAGCAGGAAAACGGGGCTAAAGACAAGATCAGAAGGGACTGCTCACAGAGGTAATGCTTCACAACCAACTTAGAGTTTTGTATTCTTTGAAAACACCCCTTATCAGCCCCCAAGTCTTCCACCAAAGCTCTGTCAACTACAGCCTTGTGTAAGCATGCTGTGAGATACCCAAGGCACATCATACCTGTGTTTGGGGACAATATTGACCAAATGGGCCCAGTGAAAATGATCAAGTGGTGATGAGACAACCAGTGGTAAAGGAGAAGGAATTTGGAAGAATTTGGAAGAAAGTGCAATTGTAGATAGGAATTCTAGAAATCTGGAATAGGGAACAGAACTTCTTGCAATCAATGTCATATCTGGATAGGAAAGGAAATGGAACCCTAAAAGAATGGAAGAATAAAGCCTCTTGGATCACAATATTCAGGTGTGATGTTATCCAATTTTAGAATTCACTTGACCATAGAAGCCCTAAGTATTAACCCTAAGTGTTAAAATGTAACAGTTGAGCTGCCCTGATAAATATACTGAGGGTTTAAATTCCATTCCCACTTGAGTTTGTATTTGATACCATGTTGGACTCCAGGCATCTCTGTAGGGTGCCATCCAGTATACCAGAAAGAGTTTTAAACTGTGGATCTAGAACTCAAAGCAGAAATCTGCTTTTAGACATTCCAGACTGTGGATTATTCTGCCTAGCTCTGAGAGCTCAGAACCTGCTAAGGAGTTATGGCCTTTCTGATGTCCACACAGGTAAGATGGGGCAAGCTGCTCTCCTTCTGTAAGTCTATCTGCTCATGGGACTTTTACCCACTGGAAAACCAAAATAAATCTAATTCCTTCTATGTAAAATCTCTTCAAATCTTGGAAAAAAATTTTTATATTCTTCCATAAATTGTGGGGTTTTAAATGTTTATTTTTTGGTGTGTGTGTGTGTGTGTGTGTGTGTGTGTTGCATCTGTGTGAGTGCAGGTGTCTCATCAGGGTATCTGTTTGGAGGTCAGAGGACAACGTTTGGAGTTTCAGGTCTCTCTTTCCACTGTAGGTTCCAGGGACCAAACTCAGGTCATCTGGCTTGTGTGTTTACCTGCTGAGCCATTTCACCAACCCTCTAAGTTATGTTTGTTCTACATCAAACATTATTCATCTTCACTCTATTTTCAAATTTGGGAATCAGAAATTACTATCATCAGTTGAGAAAACAAACAGCATAAAAAGGGCATCCACTTAAGACAAGACTGCATACAGAAGATGGGGCACAACCACAAATGCTCTAAAGGCAGAACAAGAAGGTGAGAGGGATCCATTCCCTGCTCTACAACCAGCTCAGAATATGGCTTCCCTCTTGAACCCTGCGAAGGGGCTGAAAATGAAATCCAATTTCATTCAGTTCAGCAATACACTTGGGGTACTTCCTGGCCCCGGCAGCCACCACGTCAGGGAGGTGAAGGGGACTGTCAGCAGCAGAGGCACTGAAGTCTTACTAGCAGTATTCTTTTTTAACTTTCAGGGTTTTAGTAAAATTTAAAATAAACAAGATGGTTCATCAGTCGTAAACCAAGGCAAAAACTTTCAAGTCTTGAAAAAGTAAACATAACATTCACAACAAGCAGTGGGCTATCCTCCAGTCTCAGCAAGAACCATCCTGCCAACAGCTGCTGTAATTTCAAGACAAGATGATGGAGGTTTTCAAGGAGCTCAGTAGAACAAATACAGATTCCGGTTGGATTTTATGGCCATTAAATAACATATTTTAGAATGTACCCAAAAAGTAGAATGCGATTTCTCAATTCAAGAAAATAACTGAGTGTGTAACATTAAAAGAAAGCCTTAAATATTGTTAAAGCCCTTACAGTACAGAGAACAAGAGCATTTAGATTAGTGTGCATTCTAGGTTGATCAATTTTACACACATACTTTTTTGAGAACTTTCAGTATCTAAAAACAACACAACCACATATTTTAGTAAAAAGAGATGCTCTACTTCTGGGGCTTGACTTCAAGGACAACTGCTTGAGCTTTATGTAAGTGCTGAGATTTTTTGATTTTTTAAAAAATTCTATGTGTGTAAAATCATCACACAAAAATTAATAGCACAACCCACTGGAATGTGACAGACATTTTCTCTGCACTGGTCAAGAGGTGCCAGACTGACACATTATGTGTAAGAAATTCAGACAACACATTTTCTTTTATAAGATTCTAACCATTTATTTAACAAAATGGAAATTTCTGATATCTAGACTTCTACATTTAAAATTTCAGAGGAGTGGGGCTTACATTCTACAGTATACATTATTACAAAAGAGTTCATTCGAAATTCAGATCAGCTAAAACATTTTCTCTAATGACTAGGATTCGTCATCCTTTAGTGAAGTGAGGTGACATTTTCTGTGGAAGAAGTCTGTGTCTCTTTGTCAGAGATATATCACTAATACTCCTTTCCCTTCACTCTAACCCTGTCTACTGAAGATTTGTTTGACCAATAAAATGACTGGAAATCCATTTCTCTACTTTTGGTTCCCAGGTCAAATGTAAGTCCTTTAAATTTAGGAAACGACTAACATGTGAACCAAAGGATGTGTTTTCACTCTCTACTCACACACTGCTCTGAAAAGTCAAGGTGTTTTTGGCTTTGTTCACATGCTGATTGTGCTGTGTGTAGCTCTCAATGCATCTGCATGGGACACTATCTAAATAATGTAGAGGACGCGAGAGAAAGAACGACAGCCCTCCACCCCGAATTTGAATTCTTGTGCTTGCAGATTCTGAAAGCCCAGGATCACTTGTGCCTTATAGAATCCGGAGGCTCTATGCCCAGGTGCAAAGTACATTTTCCAGATTTCTCCAGGGCAAAGGCAGGGTGGACGCCCTCAATGAACCTGTGCCTCACGATGAAGAGCAGCTGTCCACTCTCGGCATTTATAAATAGAAGTCTCTGGTTGGTATAGTCCAACAGAATGCCCACTCTGGCTGGACGCTCGGTGGCATGTACCTCGCTCACAATGCCACTGTAGAAAAATGTGTATCTGAAATGAAGCAGAATGGGAAAATTAAATTTCAAAAAGGTGGAAGTATTAAAAATTTTGATAAGGAAAATCACTTGGAAGGAACCAAGGTCTTAATTCTTAACTTCAGTTCAAAACACCGAGTTGCAAAAGTGCTGTCCCGAATTCTCTTGCCAGAGTCCCTCTAGATGCTAAAATGCACAACTTGGCCCAAGAGAGGAGTACTTTTTTTAAAAAAAAATTTATTTATTTTTACACCCACTTCCTAGATAGCACCCTCCCATAGCCTCCCTCCCCCCACTTAGAGCCCTTATACTCTGATATCCCTGCTACTGTCTGCCGTGTTGTCGGCACCCCCAGCCATCTCCACTACTTGTCCATCTTGTGAATCTAGCCAGCCTATCTAGAGGTCTTTGTTTTAGGAATGTCAGCTGTTCCTCATCTAGCAGAAATCAGCTGTCAATATTACTTTAGCAAAAGTGCTGTCCCGAATTCTCTTGCCAGAGTCCCTCTAGATGCTAAAATGCACAACTTGGCCCAAGAGAGGAGTACTTTTTTTAAAAAAAAATTTATTTATTTTTACACCCACTTCCTAGATAGCACCCTCCCATAGCCTCCCTCCCCCCACTTAGAGCCCTTATACTCTGATATCCCTGCTACTGTCTGCCGTGTTGTCGGCACCCCCAGCCATTCCCCACTACTTGTCCTTCTGGTGAATCTAGTCAGCCTAGCTAGAGGTCTTTGTTTTAGGAGGGTCAGCTGTTCCTCATCTAGCAGTAATCAGTTGTCAGTATTCCTTTGGAGTACTGTTAACCATCCTACCCCTTCCACACCAGGGGGGCAGTCCCAGAATAATCAGCACATGCCTCTCCTGTGCTTTTTTTCTCCACATTCTAATTCTTTCCCAGCTGCCCACACACTTTAGCTGCCACATTCATGGTGTGTCATTCTTTTGAATAAAATTCCTTTGAGGCTGCCTTGTATTTTAAACAGTACAGCAGGCTTGCCTTCCATACAATGTATTAATCTTACAGTTTTAAAGATTTATAGGTAACTTACATAAGGGCCTTTATGAAGTTCAAGAGCAATGCCATTGTTTTTGCCAACTTCCTGCTCTGTATAAGCTCTCCTGTCCCAGACTGATTTTTTTTCCTTTTCATCTCCTTAAAATTTTCAGAAGCCTTGCAGCCAGACAAGAGGTGCTTTTAATGTCTTTCTCCAATATAAATCTAATTCAACAGGTGTTGCATGGGCATGTCTATGAATCTTGGGCACTCTGGGGGACATGAGCTACAGAACCGTTTAGAACCCCACACTTTACAGAGCAGGCAGGAAAACGCTGTTACTGACCAAAACAGGATCAGCCTGAGGATCCATGCCAGGCATGGCCTGTTGATGAACTTACTCAACACATTTAATGCACCTGTTTGGCTGTGAAGGGACAGGCTCAAAGCCAGAGAGAGAAATTGCTGACCAGAAAGGCTTATTTGCCCCATGCAAAAAATAGTAATAGAAATTTGGGTTTTGTTTTTTTTTTTTTTTTTTTTTTTTTTTTTTTTCCTGTCAGTCTTAAGAACTGAGCGAGGCCCTGAAAATAGGAGAAAGAAAAAAGTGAACCATGGGACAGAAGTGATGAGGCAGGATCTGTGGTGAGGGCAGATCTGTGTGGCAGGAGCAGAGAATTTGAACCTTGGGGATCTGGGTGGGTGGTCAGGCAGCTGGGGCCAAGGACCTTAAGACTTGTGGTCTATCTTAAGGCCCAGAAGCTCAAGAGCAAGTATTTAGAGGGTGACAAGTTGGCATCTGACTGCAGAGGGAAGTCAATGAGGATGAGAGAAGATGGCAAAGTTCTAGAACCCAGAGGGCAGGTGATGTTAAGGAACAGCAGCGCTGACAGCAGCACCGGTTGGGTGCCTAGAAGGCTTGGGGCAAATGAGCTCACACTCAGTCAGCAAGGGCAGGACTGGGATGGGTGGATAGGGGAGGAAGAGAGCCCAGCACAAAGGGCAACAGGAGTAGAATGAGGCCGCAGAATGGGCATGGATGTGGGAGAGAGCAATTGCCACCTGCCTGGCTGGTTGGAGAGAACACAGGAGGGGCTTTTAGGATATTAGGCCGATGGAAGTCCTAGCAATGTATTCAAGATGGTGGGAGCCTCAGAGCAGGCAAGGTCATACAGATGGTCAGAGTCCAGCTTCTAGATGATTCTTATTTAAATAGAAACCAGCAGCCCCAAATATGGACAACAGCCACTAGCTACAAATACAATAGCCACTAGCTACTTGTGGCCACTTAAAATTTAACAATGTATGAAGCTCAGATTTTCAGCCCTACTAGCCACAGTTCAAATGTTAATAACTGCTTTGACACTATTTTTCTATTATTGCAGAATGTTCTACTGTACATCATGGGTCTAGAGGATTCTGAATGTCCCTGTGAGCTGATACCCTTCCCTTGCTGCTTGGAAAATTCCTATTCCTGAAGGCCATGCACCGGTCAGTCCCACCCATAGAGTCAAGAAGGGAAAGCCACCCCTTAAAGTCTTGACTCTACCAGTTCCACAGGACCTAGAGTAATTCCTTGCTTCTGCTGTTTTCTTCTTGGCACACCAATTCCTCCATGGGACTCTTAAACGAGATCAGTGATCATCACAGGCCTTGAGCCCCCTCAGGCCAAGTGCTAAAGCCTTGGTCACCAGCTGTGCTATTGGGAGATAGATGATGGAGCCTTTAGGGAGTGCAGCTTAATGGGAGGAAGCAGGTCCCTGAGCTAGGCCTTTGAAGGAGGTAGTATAGCCATGACTCCTTCCTCTTTCTCTTTGCTTTCCAGCTTTGATGAAGTGAACAGCCTTGCTCAGCCATGTTCCCACCACCATAATCTACCATGTTGTCACAGGCCCAGAGCCACCAGGCCAAGTGACTAGAGACTGAAACCCCTGAAACCAGGAGCAGAAAGGAAACATTCCTCTGCTGAAGTTGATTTTCTCCAGTCTTTTGTCACAGTGATGGAAACTGAATACATCCCACTCACCTGAACTTTAAGCCTGTTTGCTGGGGGTCTGATCCTCTACCCAGATTTTGCTTGTCCCTTTTGGGGATTGCTGGTCTTGATTCAAACATGAGTCCTCCAGAAGCCTGACTTTGAACATCTGTGTGACCCTGGAATTGCCTGCCTTGCCTGCCTCGAATACACTGCTGACCCAGACTCAGCCAGACCTCTTTTGAAAATATAGGAAATGTCCCTCTGGGCTCCTCTTGCCCCAGCCTGGTCACTTCCTTCATGTTTCCCTTCTTCACTGTGTCCTGCAAGTGACCCCACCTGAGTTCTGATACCACTGGAGGTACATATGGATTGTTCTGAGCAGATAGAAAAGGATATGATGAAAATGACGCTTACAAACATTCTCTAGCTGTGACAGGCAGAGCAGCTTAGAGGGGTAGAGACTGGTGGCAGGGGCACAGGCAGGGTGACTAGGATGAGACTGGTAAAGGAGGTGAAGAGGCCTTGAACTAGCATGGCAAAGTTTGGAATGACCAGGAAGACAACCACTGGAGTCTCCTAAGACCACCTTCAATGTTCCCCTTTCAATGTGACACCTCAAAGCTTAGGCTCAGTAAAGAGTAATATAGCTTGGATTAAATCACTAAACTAGAAAAAGTGAGAGGCCTAGGAGGGTCTGCTGAGCCACTCTCCCAGAATCCTATAGGTGCCTTATATGAAGTCATCAGAGCATGAAATAAGGGTACTTGAGACTGCCTCTGCACTTGACCACAGAGATGGTCACACTTTTCCTCTCAGAACTTCACATTGCACCTGAAGGAACAAATGGAACTTGTCACAAAATACATGATTCTGCTTTCTATAAAATAAGCTCTAGAGATTTGTGATTGGAGGGTAGTCTTTGATTTGGGTTCTTAAGTGTTTGCATGTGTAAGAATTATTATTAATATTATTATTATTAGTGTGCTCATGTGTGCATATACATATGTACATGCCATTGCATATGTGGAAGTCAGATGACAACTTTCAGGAGTCAGTTCTCTCTCTCCACTGTGGAGTGTAGGGATCAAAATCAAGTTGTAAGGCTTGCATAGCAGGTGTTTTTATCCCCTGAGCCATCTCACTGACCCATAAAGATTTTTTAAAATGAAATTAACACCTAGCTTGGACTCCCAAAATTGACTAGCTGTGAATTCTAGGTTTGAGTGGTTTTCAACTCTGGGCAGGGGCTGAGTCTTTAAGTATTGCACAGCACTGAATCTCAGCTAATCATAATTGCTATGACTTGATGAAATGTGACTTTAAATAGCACTTGGAGATGGCATCCTTCTGAACCATCTCAGAGAATCAAACTGTCAAGTAGAATACAAGGAGAAATGTTCAGCCAAAGATATGTAAAACCCCAATCTGTGGGCCTTTCCTAGAACTTGGAAGCACAAACAAGCACGGAGGGCAGACTTCCTTTTTAAATCCTTGCATTTGAATAATGCCTTCCATTAGGGCAACAAGTTACAATGCCAAAATTTTTCCCCTGCCCCGATTTCACAGAATCCTCACTATCCCAAAAGGTAGCAGTCTCTACCCTACCTGGCATTGGCCTAGCTCTAAGAGTCGGCAAATTAAAGCCTGCTAAGACAGATGAAGTGTGTAAGGTTTGCTCAAAGGGTTAACCCACTTGGGGTGAGTAACCGCTAGGCAGAATCAGGGGTAAAGTCAGGACTAAAATCAGCTTTCTTGTTCCCAGTGCAGTGCTTTCTCCATTAGACTACCCTGTAAGCTTGCCCGAACTCTCTGAGATGAGCGCAGGTTAATTTTGGATATCAACTCACCATACAATATGAATAACATAGACTAGGGGTTGGCAAATTTCTCCATAAAGGGACAACTGAAAATATCTTAGTATATGACAGCTACTTGCTCTCTGTCAGACCTGCCATTTTAGTACAGAAGTCACCATAGACAATACAAAAACAAATGAATGTGACTATGTTCTAATAAGAGTTTATTTTCAAAAGAAGCATGGGGCAGTTTGGCCTATGTGCTAAAGTTTGTCAACCTCTGATATAGACCAATGCCTTGGAAAGAGCTGGGGGCCCACCTCTTCCTCACTGTGCTGAGTCCTTCTCTGTGAGCTTTCTTTGAGCATCACTGTGTTGCTTCTCTCTACCCTAGGATGAGTTTAGAAGAGAAATCTGCCCACCAGCCCCTTCCTTTACCCTATCTCTTTGTCATGGCTAGTGGAGGGGACATCTTTCTCTGCCTCTCCAGCAACCAACTATGCCCTGCAAAGCATGGAAACTGGCCCTACCAAGACTCTGGGTGAGTAGGTCTGTGTGACAACAGGGCTCAATATAAGAAATCCTTTTGTTCCCAGGGATTAGCCATATTCTCTAAAGCTAGCTTCCTTGGTAATCAGTGTAACATTTTAGTTGCTGTAACCTTGACTATTGCTGTCTTACTTGGTTTGGCACTTGAGCAAGGTCTTGGAATGCTTTATTAGTTGCCTCAGAGACCAGCTGCCTAGACATCTGTAAATGACCTTTGGATTAAGTTAGTAGAGGCAGGGCTCCAGTTTACCTCTGTGGCTCAGAACAGTGCATGTACCATGATGTCTCCCCTTGTCCCAGGGTACCAGCCCTCATAGCCGAGCTGGAGCAGATGCCAAGTCGATAGGCTGGGCAGTCCGTGACTGTGGTTTCCCAGTAATGTTGGCCGCAGGCAGGCAACTCCTCACCCAGGACCGAGGGGATCCTGCAAGCAAATTTGATGAGATTAAACTTAATACAGAAGTCACCATCCTTTCTCTCATGAACATCAACATTCACAACCTCACACATCCTTCAGGCAGGATTCTGTCTTCAGAAATTGCTGGCAACTGACGAAAGACACCATCTGTTCACTGTGCCGCTGACCCTGGCCAGATTTCGCCAGGATTCCTGAACCTCCATCATGCATTTAACATAGGTCTACCATCTGATACAGCATACACAAATGGTGCATCGTGTCTTTTGAAGGAGCTGGGAACCAGGAAATAACTGGAATAATGGGAAGAAGGAAAAGAAATAGTATAACCTCTGCTTTTATGGGATGGAGGGAAGATTGCAGAGTCAGGTGGAGAACAGGGCTTACAAAGGATTTTTTTCTTCCAAAATTTACAAAAAAAAATCTCTAAAAAAATTTTTGCTTTGTGTGTTTTTTAAAAAATACTTCATTTTGCCGGGTGTGGTGGCACACACTTTTAATCCCAGCACTTGGGAGGCAGAGGCAGGCAGATCTCTGTGAGTTCGAGGTCAGCCTGGTCTACATAGTAAGTTCCAGGTCAGCTGGGGCTACAGGGAGACCCTTTCTCAAAAAGACCAAAAACATTTTTTTACATTTTTTATTTTTATTTTATGTGCATCAGTGCCTACATGTGTCGTGCAATGCCCACAGGGGCCAGAAGAGGGTGTAAGATATCCTGGAACTAGAGTTACAGACAGTTGTTAGCTGCCATGTGAGTGTTGGGAATCAAACCTGGGTCCTCTGCAAGAGCAGCCCTGTTTTGTGGTTTTGAGGTACAGATTCACTGTATAGATCAAGTTGACCTCAAGCCTTATGATCCACCTGCCTCAGCCTCCTGAATGCTGAGATTACAGGTCTGCACCACTATGCCCAGCCTCTTAAACCTTCTTTTATTGAATTCCAGTGTCTGATGACCTTCCTAGGAACCCAGTGAGATGCAGCTCTTAAAAGTCAAGACAGCCAGCAAGGCCAAACCAGAGTAAAGAACTGATTGGGTGTGGTCAGGGGCTTGGGAGAGGTGTCATGGTCTTCCTGATCGTACATGCCCCTGTGAAGTGAGTTCAAGGCCTCTTTTGGCCTCACCTTAGCTTTTTCAACCAGAGGCATAGTGAAATGAACCCAAGCATTTCAACTGTGGATAGGTGACCTTTTTTGCATGTAATTGCTCGATTTTGCTGGAAAATGGCTGAGCCGGCAAGAAGACATTTTTAACTTCAGCAGCGTTAATATTCAGTCAGCACTCTCTCCCTCTCCCCTTTAACAAATGAGAAAGTGATTAATGCAAGGAAATGTATTTCACTTGCTCATGTCTTTACCCAATAACCTCATTTCAGAGAGGTGCCGACTGACAAGCCCTTAGTCCCTGGAGCAAAGTCAGGTTGCCTGATATTTATGAGCTAATTTTCAGGTTAATAATAAACAAAATTCTATAAAATACGTTCCAGTTTTCGTAAGTTGTCACCTATGAACTCTTGCCAAGCGCTAATCTATTTCTTTTCTTTTTTTATTCCTTTTTTTTTTGAGAAATCCAAGAAAAAGGATTCTTTTTTTAAAGGCTTAATTTTTTAAAAGATTTATCTTATTTTTAATTGTGCATATATGTGGGGGGGGTTTGTGTGTGAACGCAGGCACCCACGGAGGCCAGAAGAGTGTTCCAATACCCTGGAACTGGAATTCCAGGCAGTTATGAACTGCCCAGCGTGAGTGCTGAGAATCGAACTCAAGTCCTCTGTGAGAGTAGCAAGTGCTCTTAACCACCAAGATATCTCTCCAGTCCTACTCCCCAAATCTCTTTCTTAAGTTATTTAAAATTTTTATTTTCTAAATCTATGTATAGGTATTTTTAGCACCTACGATGTTCTAGTCCCCATGCTAGATTCTGGAAATTCAAGGATGCATAAACAGGGCCTCTGTTCAGCAGTTATTCAAGACTGAATAGCTAGCAAATGACCTTAAAGATTCATATGAGGGGTACTGGGGCCCAGAGAAGGCTTGGACATTTCCAGAAACAAGAAAGACCTAAACTAGGCTGTGGACAGGCAACGATCAGCAAGATGAAACCACAGCACTCACAAGTCACCAGGGATGGCTGAGCACTTGCCATTGTAGTTGCAGCCTATACCTGGGACATTAGTGTCCTCTACAGCATTTGTTTCAAAACCTTTGCCCATACTCTCTCCCAGTTAGCCATTTCAACCCTCACAATAACCATGAGAGTACAAGCAAATTGCCAGGCAGTCTTCCCACCTGACTCCCAGATTTTGGGTCTTCTTTTCCTTGATGCTACTATCTTTTGTGGGAGCTACTGGAGAGCAAGAGTCTGCAATCAGAACTAAGAACTCATTAAACTGTCCTCGTCTATTCCTAGTCAAGTGGTTCATACCTGGTTTCCACTAAATATAATGGTATTGTTACTGGATTATGTTCTTCACTGAATCAGAGATAATATCTTAAAGCAGCCATTGTTTTAACTCAAAGCATCTGTGCTTGTGGTCCCAAATACAAATATTGACACTTGTTCTGAATTATGAACTATACCTGCCACTTCTCACAAAGAACAACGACTGCTATGCACACATTTGTATTCATGGCACATGTGAGCATGTTCATCAAACCAAGAATGCATCAGACAAGGCTGCATTGAAGTGACTGGTACTCAGCTGCTGAGCATCTGCCCAGCTGCTCTTTCTTCTACTTACTCTCTCAACCGCCTCCTCTCAGTGAAGCTGATCACAGTCCCATTGGAGGAAATCTGGAGAGCCGGATGAGCTGTTTCTCTCAATAAGAGAAAACGAGTTCCTATGACAGTTAAGAAAAATAAGATGACAACACTACCACAATGCCAAATGCTAGGGGAAATTCCACATTTCAGACCCTAATATCAAAATCCCTACTCAGAGTTTTCAGCTGAAAACTTCATGCATGAGAAAGTGTTAGTAGATACTTGGGGGTGGTCATTCCTACCTGGTGCTGCAGGTGAATCCTATGCTCAAGTTCACTTTGCTAGGCAAAGTGTGCTCCTTGGACCTACAGCATCCACCTCACCCAGAAATACAGGCAGACATGCAGAATTGCAGGCTCTACCCTAGACCTACTGAATCCGAATATATAATTTAGCAAGATACTCAAAGGTCTGACAGCACATTTAAACTGGGGGTGCATAATTAATTAATTGATTAATTAGCAGAAATTAAAGTAAGTAGAACAAAACTGGAAACTTGTCACAGAGCTCAAATGGTAACAGGATAGGAACAGCCTCGTGACACACACTCCATACCTACAAATTATAGTGCATTGTGAATAAAACACACATCATCTGGAAAGATTTCTAAAACCACAAATGTTCCAGCCTATGTTCAAATCAAATGAGTCCATTTTCCTGGGCTGAGGCTAGAGGATAGCTATTTTTAGGCACCCTGACTGACAGCTAAGCTTGAGAACCTATGGAGAAGGAAAATAAAAGAAACATCTTGACGTTGGCTCAATCTTGGGCCCTCATGACACAACCCTCTCACTGACAGCACGTTGGCACTTTCTGAAGCTGTTCAGGGTGTCTTCTCTGGGTGGCAGAGGGGAGGAATGCAAATGCTTGGGCATTTCTAGCTCTGCATAAGGAGGAAGTACCTCTGGTGGAGATGAGGGCAGCTTCGCTCTGTTCACTTGTCCCGAATGCATTGATGGCTCTCACGTAGAAAAAGTAATTGTCATGGGGTTGGAGGTTAACTTTCAGCTGAAGTCCTTTAATTCCAGAGAAAGATCTGAATACAAAAGGAAAATCGTTTTAAATACAATGTCATGAACCAAGAGACTAATATTCCACTTCTGTGGAGAATGAACATCTCTCATTAACAACAACTTATTTTCTTCCCTCTAGGACCAATGAACTTAGCAAGACAAATTCTGAAAAATGACCATTGTCCACCAAGATTATTTCACTGAGTCAATTTTAATTTTGTCAGCTTTTGTCCAGTATATGTCTTCCAGAATATTCTTTAAGAACAAACCAGACACCATTTTGAAACAAACCAGAAAGATAACCACTAGTAATCTTGTAGTTCATGAACCCCAAGAATATGTTATTTTTCTTCATGAATTTTGGATAAGGCTACATTTTTGGGTTAAGATGTTAAATCTATTTACAATACAAAACCCCAATTTTCTCAGCAACAGACCAAAACTGTGGAAACCTTAGGATGAGTGATGATTTTATACCTGGCCACTGTGCCAAGCCAGCAAGGTTAATAAAAACCAAAGTTCTTTAAAGAAGACAGTATCTTTTCAAGCAAACTTAATGCTGACAAGAAAAGAGAGTTCTAATTGCCACCTCCAAAAGTCCACAAAGCTGCTGTTTCTAGCTCATCCATTTAAATTAGAAGTAGTGCACATCTAGTTGGCAGTGGCTTGAAGGTTACTGTAATAATCCAAACATTTAAACATAGGACACCTGCTGGATTTGAAGATGGCACTCTCTGGAGTTGCCAACAAGCTGGACTAGCCTTGGGCTTTGCTACTCCACTTGATAACTCGGATTGGAACATGTAGACACAGGCCTCTTCCTTCAGCCTTCATTTGGAACAGCCTGGAGAGAGTTATAAGCTGGACTTCTGACTAATGATTATTACCAGCTGGGCCACTGGAGAGGCAGCGTTTTGATGCTGGAGGATGTGCTCTGGAGACTGGTCATGAAAAGAAAAGCACATTTGTTCACACTCAGGCCCTTGGGTTTTCATTCATTTGTTCCTATGTTTGTTGTTATTAATGAATATGCCTCAAAAGCACTCAAATGAGAATATTTTCTTTTTATCAAGCATATTTCTATACCTGCCTTTGAAAATAACATGGAGAATCAGAAAAAAGAAAATGTATCATGGACTCAGAAAATGAACTTCTTTTTTTCAAGTGTTGGGGACTGAATCTAGGGACTTGTGCACGCTGTCTACCACTAAGCTGCATTCCTAGCCCTTGGTGTTTTGGAGACAAAGTGTCACTATACAGCTCAGGCTGGTCTGGAACTCACAATCCTCCTGTTGCTGCCTCCTGAGCACTAAGATTAAGGGAGTGCATCTGGTGCCTAGAATTTCTTTAAAAAGAATGTGTGTATGGAACAGCAATTCTGTCCCCACCCCATATCTGAAAGCACAAAATTCACAGCGTGGTCCCGGAGGGTGGGGGTTGGGGGAACAGCGCAGGGTAGTTCTGGGCTTCTGTTGTGTAGTGCCTCGGAAAGGTCAACACAAACTCCTCAAGTGCTACTGGTTGTTATTTCAGGACCTGCCATCTGATCAGGCCTCCAGGGAGCAGTCGATTTAGCTACACTGAGCATTGGAGGGGCCAAATCGAACCACATGACCATTGGCAACCAGCTGAGCTACAGTTAATTAATGAAAACACATGTCCTATTGCTGGGACTGTAATTCCCAATTAACATCTAGGATATTATTCCAGGGCAGATGTATTGCTTATCTCATTTAAGTTGACAACCAAAGAAATGTTTTAAATAAACATTCATTATAATTAGTAATAAAGTTATTGTCTTAATAGGCACACTCAGCATGAACTGCATTTCATACTTCATTCTCTCATTAAATAAATATGCATTGATCACTTACCATGTTTGCAGACCCTGTAACCCTGAAGTCTAAGCGGGAAGTGGCAAGGGTAGAGAAGGACGTTTTAGCTCTAGAGACTAGACATAATACACCAGCCTCATTTTGTAATGATGTAGTTGTTATTTAGCAAGAATCTTGGTTTTTAACAAGCACCATTACATGGATTCAGATGCGTGTGTATGTGTGTGTGTGTGTGTGTGTGGTGTGTGACAGCAATAATCAAAGAGGACAAGAAATTCGGAGGGAGTTGTTAAGGGAACTTGAGGAACTGGAGAGGGAAGAGGGAGGGGGAAGAGATGATGTAAATATAGTACTTATGTATGAAATTCTCAAAAATTAAAAGGGCTGGAGAGATGGCTCAGTGGTTAAGAATGCTGACTGCTCTTGCAGAAGACCAGGGTTTAAATCCCAGCACCCTCATGGCAGCTAACAACTGTCCATAACTCTACTTCTGATGCCCCCTTCTGTCCTCCACAGGCAGTATGTAACATGGGTGCATTTATACACATGCAGGCATAACACTCACATACATAAAATAAAAATAAGTCAAAAAAGTTTTTAAATAAGTTTTTTTAAAAAAGAAGAAGGGGGAGGAGGAGGAGGAGGAGAAGAAGTAGGTTTTTAGGAGTTTGCGTTTAAATTTTCTGAAATCTGTCAAGGAGAAAATGCCACATACATTATTAACTTTATGTCATGTCTCATTACTCAGGTAAAGAATAAATGATCACATGGCCCTGAAATCAAAATACAGCATCATAGCCTGCTTTTAGCGCATGAAATGGGTCATACAGTTTCAACAGGTATGCACAATACCCTTGCCAGTCTGTAAAATAAAAACATCAAACATGAAAACAAAAGAAAGAATATGAAATATGGTGACATTCTGTTGTTCACAAGTCACCATCTTCTGCTTAAACAACAAGACGAAGGTCAGATACAGATGGTACATTGCCCTGTCTGCTTAGCCTGTCTGCCTCCACCTAAGGCTTCATATCAGCTCTGCCTGTTTTTTAGCCAAATGAAAACTTGGAAACTTCAAAGGATCAGTCTGAAAAAGTGCTCTATTCCATAGCTTATGACTTTATTATCTCAAAAATAAAAACTTGGCACAATGGCAACTAAATGTACATGACCAATAATGAGCCTGGCCTAGATTATGGTAATAATCTAAAATCTCAATAAGATTTAGGTTCATGGAATATGCAAACTGAGGTAAGTAACCAGATAGCAAAGAGAACCACAGTAAATTGTTGCTGTTTAGTTAAAAAGGGATGTTAGCTGGGGGTAGTGGTACACATCCATAACTCCAACACTTAGGCGGTTAAGATGGAGGATCATGAATTTGAGACCCAGCCTGGACTGCACAGTGAGACACTGTGCGTGAAGGGGGGTTAAGACCATTCAAAAATGTGATTGTGATTAGAAGTCTAGAGCCAATAAGAAAATTCAAAAGACAGTAAGAAATGACTCACATGGTCTCACTTTGGGTCATAAATGAAATTCTCCCTGTAAGTGCCATAGACAGTGGGAAGGGATAGCTTTGTGTGCGGCTACTTCCGTGATGTGAGAATCTTGACACATTGACTGAAATCTTGGCATATAAGTGAGTTGGTGGATTGCTGGTGGCATGGAGCTGGAGTTTATAAAACTGTATCCAGCAGCTGGACACAGACTCTCACCTCTCATCTCTCTGTCAGCAGGACAGAAGATATTTGTTAAGTTTCTAATTCCTAAAGCAGAGGTATGGCTTAGAGGAGACTTGCCATCTCCTCAGAGGGCCACAAGGCTGCTGTGTGAATGAGGAACTGGTCTCTGTCATATCAGAGAGCAAACAAGTGGAAGCCAGCAGAAACCAATGGCTGTTCAAAGTAACAAAGGCCTTTCTGGCTTGAACCCTATTATCATTCTTTGGTCCTTCCAAGGAAAGACTAACATTTTGACACAATTAACCATGATTGATAATGAAGCAAGGATCATTTTAAGTAGGAGCTTCAAGAATCTTAAGGAAGTCGGAAATCCTTAGGGAAGCATGCTTATGGAGGAAATTGCTAAACACAGTCCCATTAAGATAGAAAAAGACATGAGGTTAAAAAAGAAATTGGGAGGTAGGAGGCAAAACCATTGCCATTTGCAGATGGTATGACTGTTTATCTAGAAAATCAGCTGAAAACTCTTACATAAGATTCAGTAGGATGGCTAGATATGAAACCAATGTAAGAAATCAAGATCTGGGGATATAGCTCTATAGCACACCTCTTGCCTGGCATGACTGAATCCTAGGCTCCAACCCTACCACCTAGCACCACCACCACTGAAACAAACAAAAATCTTCATATACAATTAAGATAAAAGGCAAAACAAAAGATCTTATGAAGAACAGTAATAAAATATATATGCTTTATGTGAGGAACATTTTTAGATTCAACTGAGGAAAAAAAAGACATTATCAGTTCTTGTAGAGGAAAATGCAACATTACAAAAACTTCAGTTCTCCCTAAGGTAACCTATCAATTTAGCATGCTCTCTAAAAATAACACATTGTCTGGAGTCAGCTAACAGAGGAAGCTATACATGCTAACTCTAAAAATAATAAAATATAATCTGGCACGCAGAAAAAAAAATCATGAATGGGCCACCCAACCTCAAGGATCCTAAATAGTAAACCTCTACTAATAAAAACAGTTTGGCACTTTATACTTACCCAGCATAAACACACTGATGGGTAATGGAGCAGATTATAAAGTCAGGAATAGAGCCAGACTCATTGATTCTTGATTATAGAAATGTAAGCACTTCTGATCACAAGAAGAAAAGGCAAGTTTCCATTTTAAGACAACCATATTACCATATCAGAGAGACAGAGAGATAGAGGTACCTGGCAAGTAATGCACTTGAGAGGTGGGGGATAAACTGGGTGTGGTGGTGCACATCTGTAATCCCAGCACTTGAGAGATAGAAACAGGAGGTGTGCAGTAAGTTCAAGGTCAACCTGGTCTACATAGTAAGTTCCAGGTCAGCCAGGAGACCCTGTCTCAAAATAGTACAGAAAGGGAGGAAGTTGGATTCTCTGCCTCATACCTCCAACCACAGCAAATGATAAAATGTACAATTTTTAAAAACAAAAATTAAGAAAATAAGGCATGTATACA